TTGAAGCTGCGCTCGAGGACGGAGCACCAGTCTCCTCCCAGGATCCTTCCCTACCTTTCTCCAACCGCCTCTCCTGTTTCCTCCCTGCGTGGTCCCGCATAACGTCAGACCGCTGGGTCCTACGCACGGTAGAAACTGGATACCATCTTCAGTTTGTTTCGCCCCCTCCCCCCACTTCCCACCCTGCCTCTTCAGGGACCCTTCTCATGAGCATCTCCTCTTACAGGAGTTACAAGCGTTCCTGTCTGTTGGAGCGGTGGAAGAGGTACCGAAGGACTTGAGGGGCAGGGGTTTTTACTCCCACTACTTCCTAATCCCCAAGGCAAAGGGGGGACTTTGGCCCATCCTGGACCTACGCGGACTCAACAAATTCATGCTAAAGTTGAAGTTCCGCATGATTACCCTGGGAACCATTATCCCTTTCCTGGAGACTGGTACACTGCCCTCGACATGAAGGACGCGTACTTCCATATAGCGATTTACCCACCACACAGGCGGTTCCTTCGCTTTGTGGTCGGACAGCAGCATTTCCAATTTACGGTCCTCCCCTTCGGCCTGTCCACAGCACCAAGGGTCTTCACAAAATGTATGGCTGTCGTAGCGGCCTGGCTCCACAGACATCAGATCCAAGTGTTTCCGTACCTCGACGACCCGCTCATTCGGGGTTGGTCACAGCTACAGGTGCGGTCTCATGTTCGGTTCGTTATGACCTGCTTCAGGCAACTGGGCCTGCTGCTCAACGCCGAAAAGTCCACTTTGGAGCCAACCCAAAGAATAGACTTCATTGGGGCAGTCCTGGACTCAAATCTCGCCAGGGCATGCCTACCGCAGGCCCACTTCCAGTCCATGATGACCATTATCCACGGCCTCTAAAGCTTCCCGACCTCGACAGCACGCACGTGTCTCGGTCTTCTGGGCCACATGGCCTCGTGCACCTTCGTGACCAGACATGCCAGACTACGCCTCTGCCCGCTTCAGACCTGGCTCTCGTCAGTGTACCGTCCAGGCCGGGACAGTTTGGACACAGTGCTCACGGTGCCGATGGAGGTCTTATCCTCTCTGGGTTGGTGGCTAAACCCCAGCCTTGTTTGCGGGGGGATGCCATTCCATGCTCCACAGCCCTCTCTAGCCCTCACCACGGACGCGTCATCTCTGGGCTGGGGTGCTCACCTCGCGGACCTTCGCACACAAGGCCTTTGGTCCGCACAAGAAATAACCCTGCACATCAATGTCAGGGAACTGAGAGCAGTACGTCTGGCGTGTCAGGTATTCCGCAAATCTTCAAAGACAACACAATGGCCATGTTTTACATCAACAAGCAAGGCGGAGCGCGGTCGTCCCTCCTCTGTCAGGAAGCCATACATCTCTGGGAATTCTGCATAGCCCACTCAATCGACCTGGTGGCGTCTTTTCTCCCAGGAGTCCAGAACATCTTAGCAGATCGCCTCAGCAGGTCCTTCCTGGCTCACGAGTGGTCAATACGTCCGGATGTTATTCATTCTGTTTTCCGGAGGTGGGGATTTCCCCACATAGACCTTTTCGCCTCTCGCGAGAATCGGAAGTGCCAGGTGTTCTGCTCTCTCCAGGGACGTTCCCCGGGCTCCCTGTCGGACACCTTCCTGATACCATGGAAAGACCACCTGCTCTATGCCTTCCCTCCGTTTCCGTTGGTCCACAAGGTCCTTCTGAAGTTACGCAGAGACAAGGCCCGCTTAATCTTGATCGCTCCAGCGTGGGCCAGACAACACTGGTACACCACACTCCTCGATCTGTCGGTGACCAAACCAATCACTCTACCATTGTGGCCGGACCTGATTACTCAGGACCACGGCAGGTTATGTCATCCGGACCTGCAGTCCCTCCACCTGACTGCTTGGATGCTGCATGGCTGACTCAATCTGAGCTGTGTTGCTCCACTTCGGTGCAGCAAGTGCTCTTGGGGAGCAGAAAGCCCTCCACTAGGTCCACATACCTGGCCAAAAAATGGAAGCGCTTCTCCTGCTGGTGTGCCCTAAACAACACTGTCCCTATGGGGGCGCCAGTACCTACCATCCTAGACTATCTCTGGTCCTTGAAACAGCAAGGCCTAGCTGTCTCATCTATCAGAGTCCACTTTGCAGCGATTTCAGCCTTCCACCCGGGCGAGAACGGGCGCTCAGTCTTCTCTAGTCCCATGGTAAGCAGGTTCCTCAAGGGCTTAGAATGCCTGTACCCACAAATTCGTCAGCCGGCCCCTACGTGGGACCTCAGTCTGGTCCTATCTAGACTCATGGGTGCCCCCTTCTAGCCGATAGCCACCTGCTCGCTTCTGTACCTGTCCTGGAAAACAGCTTTCCTCATTGCTATCACATCAACGAGACGAGTCTCAGAACTTAGGGCCCTCACATCGGACCCACTGTATACGGTGTTCCATAAGGACAAGGTACAGCTGCGACCACACCCCGCCTTCCTCCTTAAGGTGGTGTCTGCCTTCCATGTCAACCAAGACATCTTCCTCCCGGTCTTCTTCCCGAAGCCGCATGCTTCGCGAAGGGAGGAACAGCTACATTCTGTAGACGTTCGCAGGGATCTTGCCTTTTACATCGAACGTACGAAGCCGTTCAGAAAGACGTCCCAACTGTTCGTAGCGGTGGCAGACCGGATGAAAGGCCTTCCGGTCTCTTCGCAGCGAATCTCGTCTTGGATTACATCATGCATCTGTGCATGTTATGACTTGGCTGGTGTCCCAGCTCCACGACTCACTGCCCATTCCACTTGGGCTCAAGCTTCGTCCTCTGCCTTTCTGGCTTATGTGCCCATACAGGAGATCTGTAGGGCAGCGACTTGGTCATCCGTGCACACTTTCGCTTCCCACTATGCCATAGTGCAGCAGTCCAGGGAGGATGCAGCATTTGGTTCAGCGGTCCTTCACTCCGCGACATCTAACTCCAACCCCACTGCCTAGGTAAGGCTTGGGAGTCACCTAATTGGAATCGATATGAGCAAGCACTCGAAGAAGAAAAGACGGTACTCACCTTTGTAACTGTTGTTCTTCAAGATGTGTTGCTCATATCCATTCCAAACCCGCCCTCCTTCCCCACTGTCGGAGTAGCTGGCAAGAAGGAACTGAGGGGGCGCTGGGTCGGCAGGGGCATATATCTGGCGCCATGAGGGCGCCACTCCGGGGGCCCCTCAGCCGACCCACCGAGAGTTGCTAGGGTAAAAAACTTCCGACGATCGTGCACGCGGCGCGCACACACCTAATTGGAATGGATATGAGCAACACATCTCAAAGAACAGTTACAAAGGTGAGTAACCGTCTTATTCCACAGTGTTGATCCTTTTTGTTGAAAACTTTATAGAACAGAAACAAAGTTACACCTAATAAAACCATAACATCAAAAATAGATGAAACATTTTAAAAGCACAAAAATTACTTCCCTCACTTCTCCAGTTACTTATGCATAGGGCCCTACCAATTCATGGCCATGAAAAACGCGTCATGGACTGTGAAATCTGGTCTTCTGTGTGCTTTTACCCTATACTATACAGATTTCATGGGGAAGACCAGCGTTTCTCAAATTAGGGGTCCTGACCCAAAAGGGAGTTGCAGGGGAGGTCACAAGGTTATTTTAGGGGGGGTTGCAGTATTGCCACCCTTACTTCTGCACTGCCTTCAGAGCTAGGTGGTTGGAGACTGGTGGCTGTTGCCCGGGAGCCCAGGTCTGAAGGCATAGCCGCCGCCAGCAACAGCGCAGAAGTAAGGGTAGCAGTACTGCAATCCCCCCCACAATAACCTTGCAACCTCCCAACAATTCCTTTTTGGGTCAGGGCCCCTACAATTATACCATCGTGAAATTTCAGATTTAAATAGCTGAAATCATGAAATGTCAGATTTTTAAAATCTTATGACCATGAAATTGACCATGAATTTGGTAGGGCCTTACTTATGCAACATAGAACCTGCAAGGCCTGGGTGTCTGCTCACAGGACCGAGTAGAATCTAGTGGGACTTCTGAGAAAACAATAAATCCCAGCGAGATGGGTAGTGGGAAGCTGATGCACTTATAGGTATGTGGATAACTTTATCATGTGCCCCTGCAAGTTACCACATGGCTGTTTCCTCCATGTATGAGGTTTGTGTGTACGTATATTGTATTATAACGTGTATGTGTGTATACCATTAGATATTGCAGCGTGCCTCTGAATACTAGAGTGGTAGCCAAGGAATGCAGAAGAGTGTTCAGAGCTATTAAGTCAGTTTGAATAATAAATTAATCTCCTTTAGTTGAGAGGTTATTTTCTTTACTGTTTGCATATTTCTAGAAGGGTAGCTATAAAAAAATAATCACAGATGGTATTTCTGATCTTATTGCTGGCAGTAACCATGTGGCTGAAAAGTCAAATCATTTGTAGGTTTAATGGTGCAGCAGCCAAATGTCCAGGAGTGTAACCATTGATTACACTTTATTCTGGATCTAACATCAGAAAAATTTACTGTCCGCTTTGTAAACATGAAACAGTTTCTTGAAGATACTAAAGACTGTTAAAAGTAGGGCTTAGACATCATTGCTTACAATGAACTACTTCCAGCAGGGAGATTTCACACTTATTGCATGTTCATACTGTCCATTGATTATGGTGCTGATCACTTTGTAAAGCATCAGGCATAAATCTGTCAAATACAACTTTCAACGCTCTTTTCTGTTGCATTGTTTAGAATATAGTATTTGATACCTTCAAAATTATTTTCAAAATGCATCCTCTTTGTTGATCAGTCACCTTACAATCTCTTTAATCGCAACTACAGAAGCTAGAGTGGAAAAAGCACAGTAAAAATGGGACTGTACTCACATTATTACAAATCCAGGTGTAGAAGCTGCTCCTGACTTCAGAATGGTGAAAATCACCCATTCCGTTGTACAGTGGAAACTGAACTGTGACAGTTACTTTCTTTGAATCCTCAGTGCACTATCCAGTTGAAGGTAACTTAATAAAAGGTAACTTCATCTTTTTTGCAGGAGGTTGGAAATCTGTATGACATGTTCCATACGCGGAATTGTTTGCACCGCAGAGCTTACCAGCACAAGGTTGGCAACATCATTGAAACAATGTAAGTGTCCATTGTGTATTTTGATTGTTCATGGTTAAGGCTATGATTTTCAGTCTGTGGTGGCTGGGAGCTGCAGGGTCCCTGCAGTGGCCAGGAGCTGCTGGGTACCCCCAGGGGCCCCCCTGGAGTTCTGAGCCACTGCAGGTGCTGGGGGTACCATGGGTAGTGGGGGCCCCCAGGAGCTCTGAGCCGTCGATGGTGGTAGGGGGGCCTGAGCTCTGAGCTGGGGCCCCCACAGCTGCCCAGCCTCTGTGGGTGGTATGGGAACTCCACAGCTCCCCTTTTTGTCATGGATATTTTTAGTAAAAGTCAGGGTCAGGTCAAGGGCTACCATGAATTTATTTTTTTTTTTATTGCCCGTGACCTGTCCCTGACTTTTACTAAAAATGTCTGGGAGAAAATTTTAGCTTTATTCATGGTGAGTTGCTGAGCTGAATGAAAACCTGTAGAGTTAGGATTTCTGTGAAACCAAGCACGTCTTTGTGCCTCTGTAAAAGGCACAAATGAAGTTTTGTATATGCAGTTTTACAGGACCCTATCTGTACCCTAATCTGTGAGCATGCCTTGGGCATTCATCACACCAAGGAAATTTGGCTTATATAGCCTTCTGCCTTTTTTGGTTCTAGATTGATTTTTTTTTTTTTAAATAGACAATCTGAACCCAATAGATTTCCAACTACTAGAAATAGCTTCACTCCTCTGAACTTTACTAGTCTTAAAATGTTATGTTAAATCCATTTTGGAATATGTAAATAATCAATAAGGTATAAAGTGGTGTAAAATCCAGCTGATTTCCATTGGGTTACTCAAGACTTAATTTTAAAATAAGCATTTAAAGTTCTGCAGTATGGTGGTGGTTGTCCTTTTGTTCATACATATAAATCAAAAAAATGAAGGAAATAAGAACTCTCCCCTACCACACTGAGAACCAGTTGACAGCAGATTGATCAAGCCTAGTAATAGAGCAGATGTCCTTTTCATACTGTCTTTTTGTCCATAGACACTGGATGTCTTTAAACTGTTAAAATTTAGGAAGAGCCTGACTATTTTAGAAAAACTGTATTTTTAAATAATTTTTTGCCACATGCAGTGGGTGAATAGCTCTGACAGACTGATGCACTAATACTTAGAACTTACCTGGCAGCTTACCTCAAAAAATGCTTTACAAACATTCATCCAACTTAGTTATTAATTCATGGAGCTATTTAGTCACCACCAAGTGTGTTCTGCTGTGCAGTACTTCTATATTATAACAGTCTGAGCGTCGGCCACTGACTTCCATACTCCTACAGTCAACCAAACAGTAATGTCAAACATGCAGTCAGAAGCACTGCATAATGGCAGATTTCTAGTTCATCAGAATTATGAGGGTTTTAAGTGAAAGCACTCTATTAACTAGTTGAAAGGTCAGTTATTTATTTACTGTCTGGTTGCTTCAGCTTCTGCATTGACTCACCCAGTTACGAGTCCGGTTTAGGCAATGGGAGACATGAAATGTTACAGTATAACTGACTTCTTCTGGCTTCATGCTTGGAATGCTTATTAACTAATGGTCCTTTATTTGTAAACTTTGTGGCTTTTCATTTTCTCTTTCAAAAACACTAAATCCATATCCTATGTCTCAAAATAGGATTACAGATGCCTTCCTAAAAGCAGATCCCTATATTAAAATAGAGGGCACTGGTGGAAAACACTACAAAATTTCTACAGCAATGGAGGATATGGAAGCTTACACTAAGCTAACAGGTAAGCTTTCACTGATGGTGACATGTTCATGCCAGCTTACATGGGGTATCTGTTTATAAGTAGGCTAGGCAGAATTTGATTTTTTTTTTTTATTTTTTATTTTTTTTAAATTTGGACAGATGGATTTTTATCTATTTAAATTTTCACAGTTCACAATTATAGGGGGTGGAGTGTACATTTACGGACAGTAGACTCGTAGACTTTAGGGCCAGTAGGGACCATCGTGATGATCTATCTGTCTGATCTCCTGCACATTGCAGACTACAGAACCTCACCCACCCACTCGTGATATAGGCCTATAACCTCTGGGTGAGTTTCTGAAGTCCTCAGATCTTGATTTAAAGACTTCAAGTTACAGAGAATCCACCATTTACTCTAATTCAGGCCAGCAAGTGACCTGTGCCCCATGTTGCAAAGGAAGGTGAAAAACCTGCAGGGTTTCTTCCAGCCTGGCCTGAAGAAAAATTCCTTCCTGACCCCAAATATGGTGATCATTTAGGCCTGGAGCATGCGGGCAAGACCCACCCACTGGACACCTGAAGGAGAAGTCTTTGTAGTAACTCAGAGGCTTCTCCATCTAGTGTCCCATCTCTGGCCTTTGGAGATATTTGATAGTAGTCACAGATGGGGCGTATGCCATTGAAGGCAGCCTCATCATGCCCATCCCCTCCATAAACTTCTCAAGCTCAGCCTTGAAGCCAATTAGGCTTTTGCTCCCAATACTCTCCTTGGAAAGCTGTTCTAGAACTTCACTCCTCTGGTTGTTAGAAACCTTTGTCTAAATCCAAGCCTACATTTGTTGGTCAGTTTATATCCATTTGTTCTTGTGCCAGCATTGGCCCTTAACTTAAATAGCTCCTCTCCTCTCCCTCCCTATTTATAGTAGGGCTGTCGATTAATCGCAGTTAACGTAAGCGATTAACACAAAACAAATTAACTAGATTAAAAAAGAAGTCACGACTAATCGCAGTTTTAATTGCACTGCTAAGAATAGAATACCAATTTTAATTTATTAGAAATATTTTTGGATGTTCTACATTTCAAAATATATTGATTTCAATTACAACACAATACAAATTGTATAGTGCTCACTTTATATGTTTTGATTACAAGTATCTTTTTACAGTGCAAATAAAACAAGAATATTTTTCACTTCACCGCATTTAAGTACTGTAGTGCAGTCTCTTTATCATGAAAGTGTAACTTACAAATGTAGAAGTTGTGTTGTTTTTGAGTGCTGTTATGTTTAAAAAAAAAAAAAATGTAAAACTTTAGAGCCTACAAGTCCATTCAGTCCTACTTCTTGTTCAGCCAATTGCTAAGAGAGACAAGTTTGTTTACATTTACGGGAGATAATGCGGTCCGCCTCTTAATTACAAAGTCACCTGAAAGTGAGAACAGGCATTCGCATGGCACTGTTGTAGCCAGTGTTGCAAGGTATTTACGTATGCACTGGCAGCCAAGCTCCCCCCTCCTCACCTCCTTCCCCCCCCAACACTTTCCACCCCCACCCTCCGCCGCCAAACAGCTGTTTGGCGGCGTTTAGGACTTTCCAGGAGGGAGAGGGAGGAGCTGGGACACGGCACGCTCAGGGGAGGCCTCCATTGGAAGAGACAGGGCAGGGGTGGGGACTCTGGGGAAGGTGGCGGGGCTGGGATGGGAAAAGGTGGGGTGGGGCAGGGACTTTGGGGAAGGGTGGAATGGGGGCGGGGCCAGGGGTGGGGGAGGGGGTCGAGCACCCACCGGACAGAGGGGAAGTTGGCGCCTATGGTGCCAAGTATATTAAACGTTCACATGTCCCTTCGTGCTTCGACCACAATTCCAGAGGACATGCTTCCATGCTGAATTTAAATTGGTATTCTATTATTGTTTAAGAGTGCAATTAAAATTGTGATTGATTATGATTATTTTTGTAATCTCACAATTAATTGTGATAATTATTTTTAATCGTTTGACAGCCCTAATTTATAGAGTGCAATTGTATCTCCTCTGAGCCTTCATTTTGTTAGGCTAAACAAGCCAAGCGGCTCTCATAAGGTAGGTACTCCATTCCTCTCATCCTAGTAGTCCTTCTCTGCACCTGTCTCAGTTTGAATTCATCTTTCTTAAACATGTTTGCACACAGTATTCCAGATGAGATCTCACCGGTGCCTTGTATAAAGGTAATAACACTTCCCTCTTGTGACATAGTGCACTCACTTCTTGTTCACTCCTCCTGTCAACTGGGTGCTATCCTGCACTCTTTCCTTTCTCTGCTCCCAGCTGCCCCTGTTGGCTGTTAACCTCGTCAGGCAGGTATTTGGTGGCTCAGTTCTCCGGCCAAGTTTCACAGAGTCAAAACGCATGAATGAACCCCTTCTGTGGTAACAAAGTCCAACAAGTGGTTGGCCTTCTCTGGGGTCTTCAACCCTGTCTCAGGGACTGTTTAAATTCTAGCCCCTTTTTTGGATTTTTAGTACAGAGTCTTATCCCCTTCTTGGGGCCTAGGCCACTTCCTCAGCAGCCCTTGGGGGGACCCTGGCCCGCCACTACTCCGGGTCCCAACCCAGGGACTGTATAAACCGCAGTTACGTACTGCTTCCCTTTAATAGTTGCTGCTGCTGCTGCATTCCCTGTGTTCAATCCCACTTGGTCCCATCACCTTCTGGGATCTCTGCCTATTCCCTGTTTGAGCAGGGTCTCTCCCAGTCCTCCTTGTCTGGACAGTTTCTCAGTCTCGGTCCTGATTTCTAAGGGTTTTCTCTCAGGCCTCTTTGCTCGGAGAGCTTCACAGTCCTATCTCTGCTTGAGCAGGGCTTCTCCATGGCCTCCTTGCTGATCCATCTTCTTCCATTCCTTGTAGGCTTTCTGCTTTCTTTTAATAACCTGTTTGAGATGCTTGTTCATCCAGTTTGGTCTACAGCCCTTCCCTATGAATTTATTCCCCATTTGGGATGCAGGCTCCGTGTTTCTGTTATCCCTATAATATCTAGTTTTACTTCTCACACGAGTAGTTCTAGTTCCTCCATTTTGTTATGCAGGCTTCTTGCATTGGCATACAGACATGCTGACTTTAGTTGTTTCTGCTTGGCTTCGCCCGGATTCCTCACCCAATTGGATACAGTCATTCTACTGCCAGTGTCACCTATCTGACTGTTAATGTAATTGATATTGACACTCTCTTTCATCATCTTGTCCGCTTTCCTACCCTCTATTGTTTCTTTCTCCATTGCAGTATCGTTTTTTACTGGATTTCCTCCTCCTTAAAATCAGTCATGGAGATTACATGGGTCTCTCCCAACCTTCTCCCCTGAATTTCTGGTTTAAAGCTTTTTTAATCAGTTGTTCCAATCTCCATCCAGAAGGCTATTTCCCTCCCTTCTCATGTGGAGTCCATCCCATGAGAACAGTCCTCTGTCCGTGAATGCCTCCCAGTGGTCGAACATTCCAAAGCCCTCCTTATAGCACCATTGCCTGAGCCATCTATTTATCATCGTCTTGTCTCACTTTCACACTCGTCCTCTAGGGACAGATATAATCCCACTCAAGATCACCGGAGCCTCCATTTCTTTAAGCGTCTTCTCCAGCCTGGCAGTGTTCCTTGATGCACCCCAGTGAGAATCCAGCAGTATAATCTGTCCCCATGTGAAGGCCAATCAGTGGATTCTTTCCTGTTTCTATTAGGATTGTATTACACCCTCAGGTCCACATCCTGTGTCTTCGCTCCTGGCAGACAGCGCACCCTTCTGTTATCCAGATCAGCACTGGTGACAGGCCTGTCTGTTCTTCTTAACAGGGAATCCCCAGTCATGTAGGCCTGTCGGTTCCTGGTTTCGGTGCAATTCTCTGGCCTTCCCCCTTCTGTTCTTTCTAGCTGCAAGTCATCTTGTCTTCTGTTCTCACTTGCAGTCTTCTGTGAGTCATTCTCTATCCTCCTGTGGCTCCAAACTCTGGCTATGTCCATTATCTCAGCCCCTTTTCTTGTAGGACTAGCCACTCTTCTCTTGTTCCTTGCTGTCCCATTTTCTGTTACTGCCTGCTTCTCCCATTCACTTTCCAACTCAACGAACCTGTTCCTCAGTTCTATTTCTCTTTTGCCAGCCGATCTTTGCCTCTGCCTCATTCTTGTAGTCACATGCTTCCACTGGCCACTTTCCTCATCTAGCAGTCTACCCTCACAGTTCTCTGGTCCAGCTTGCATCTGCAAGTCTTGAGGTTTCCCTTCAGCCTCCTCTCTCCTTCCCTCCATCATCCGTTCAAATCCCTTTCAAAATTCAGTCATCGTTTCTAGCTGTAGCTCCAAACCTTGAATCTTCTCTTCTGTCAGGCAGCACTTCATACAAATGGAGCACCTTTCAGGTACCCGCTCCAGAATAATGTACATGCCGCAGCTTCCTCATTCAGTTATCTTCGTTGTCTCTCCCATTATTCAGGTCACTATCACTGCTGATTCTGTAGATGTCCTAGCCTCCCCTCCTAAGCTCCTGTCAAGAAATATCAGTGGGGGAAGAAACACACGGGCATCCTCTCCCAAACTGCCCTGTTTTCAGCTCTGATTTGCTGGCTCCTGTGCCTCTGGCTAGTTGGCTGGCAGCCTTTATAGGCCTGCTGATTAGGGAAGCCCCCCATTAAGATTGATCTGTGATCAATGGCTCTGATTCTCTCACAAGACACTACCCCCACCAGACTATGCAAACTGAAAACCAGCTGAAACGAACATTGGGATTCAAAAAGTTAAAGCTTTATAAACTCTTAAAACACAAATTATCAACATCATATGTCAAAGTATACCAAGTAAATATCCTTAAATCAATAATTCACACCTGTTTTACAATTTGCTTGCTAGTCCATTTGTAACAAGCTTATTGGCTGGTCTGTACTGAAAAGTTACATGGGCATAGCTACATCTCTCGGGTATGAAAAATCCAAACCCCTGAGAGACTTAGATAAGACCACCTAGCCCCTGGTGTAGGCAGTGTTAGGTTGACAGAAGAATCTTCCATTGACCTAGGTAGTTCAAG